GCTTTAATATAAATAAAATGAAATCCTAGCTACATCAATATCCATAGATGCATATCATTCATTGGCTCATCTCCGAATCCCTGAAAAATGTTAATGATAATAATATGAGCTCAACAGCTCAATAGAAAAAGTTTAAAGTACATTCCTAAAAATTACGTGAGCCGTAACCAAAGAAAGGGAAAACAAAGAAAATGGATCATGGGATTATGAGCCATACCAATCATACATGAATTTCACAAATTCACAAACCATACCATCAAACATGAAATGCAAATGTTCTCTTCTTCTTTTCCAACCCAACCTCACTAAAACCTTTTTAACCACCACCTTAACTTACAACACCATCCATCATCTCAATTCCTAACCTTTTCTCCCACATCAAACCTTCACCCTCTCAATTCACCCCATGCTAAGAATATACATATCATACTACCATTTATCAATATGCAAGTCATTATTTACATCATGATTATTATATAAACACCCAAACATAAAAATTAGTCACATAATTCATACTTTCACATTTTCTCCTAGAAAATAGTATGCTTGGCACAAATACAAGAAACCATCTTTTTCTCAATCCACAATAATTAAATCAACAATATCTCATGTTTAACATCACAACCAAAAAGCTACAAACTAAGTATATGTGATACCCCTCATTTCTAGAGTCACGGGTGATCAAGTCCGAGCACAGATCCGAGGGATACCAAACAATCAATATGTAAACAAGCAAGAATAAAACTGAAGTAAGATTTAAATAATAATAAACAGAAAGAATACTAATATGAAAATCCTCAAATCTTAAATAATAATTTAATATAATTTAAATCTGTACAACTCGGGAATCCACCTAGTGGACCCCTAATCCCAAATCCTTGAATAAATTTACAGTATTAAAATCCAAAACCAAAATAGAAAGGAAACCCTATGTAACCGGAAGAGTGAGTGTCTGTATCTGCATCAACACGAACAAACTCTAAGCCTGGTACTGGTAAATACCTGAAAAATAGGAGTGGGTCAGGCCCACATGTAAGTTTCAATCTACTACAATCCGTACATAAACCCGATACGCAGATACATCCTAGATAGCTCGGCAATATCTACAATAGTCCATATATATATATATATATACACATACTATAGGATGCTCACTAGCCTATAACATAGTTCAGCCTGGGTAGAAGGTGACATATAAAACACGCTTTTCAGCGGCCAAGTACCTAGACATACCAGGGAACATTAACTATATCTAGCTACTCAACCTTTGCAATATACGTACCCTAACCGTGATTAGGAGACTCAAGCTCGTATCACGGTACCATAAATATATATATAAATTCCTTCCTAGTGCAGAAAGATAAAACAAATATCCATTATGTCGTTCAACTGTTTTAGTTGACAGGACATGCATCCATGTAGGATTTAACTGTTTTAGTTAATCCATTCCATATGTATGAAGGGGTAGGACTTAGCTTTTTGATCTAATCCATCCCTGATATGTCACCGTCCCATACCGGTACATATAATGCAAATGATCCACCAGTAATGCACATTCATTAGAATATCTAGTATATCAATGAACCAGCATAATAGAAAACAGGTATTATTAAGATCCTATTATGCATCCAGTATATGATTATAATCATAAAACTCCTGTTAAATTGTTATAGTACTGTTAAACAATTTAAATTATCCACATCCATCCCATTGACAAAACAGAAACTAAATCAGTTCATCAATTAACAACCATAGCAGGGTATAATGATTTAACCATAAATCCTTCCTTTAAATTGTTAAAGTAATGATAACTAACTTAAATTATCCAACTCCATACAATTGATCGAACATAAATTTTAACAATTCATCAATTAACATCCATAGCACAATATAATGACAAATAGAGTTATAACTGTGCACATTATACTAGACTGCCAAAAATACCTCCATACTAGTCCAGTTCGTTTGCTAAAACAAACTAGTAATCACAACCTACATCATCCTTGACCACATGCCAAGTAATGCTTAAATTACATGATGTCCCTTTAATCCTCACTATAGATCATGTGTCTGATATAACGACACTCAAAAATCTAACCGGAGTACATCTTATGAAACCCCAAAAGTATTCCCATACAAGTCCATTTAGTTCGCTAAAATAAAGCTAGCAACTAAAACTCCTACAACTCCTGTTGGCATGTAACCTATCAATTAAAATTACATGACGACCCTAACCATAGCATAAACAACCCTCTTGGAACTGAAACATGTCATTTATATCATTGGTATAAATTCCTAACACTTACCTTTATAGCAGTTCATTTAATTTGCTAGTCAACCAACGATTCCAGTTCTCTTTCATTCTTGACAGTATTGAACATTCTTATTTTAAAATTTATGTTGTCCATTCTTATGACCTGAATCAATACATCTTAGGTCTTAAACATGCTCTGTACACCATTTAAGAACCCCCATGAAACTCCAAAATTACCCTTTTGCCCCTGAAGTACAAAAATTACCAGAAATACCCCCGGAGGGGTTTCTGTTCAAAGGAGCCGGCTCCCCCCCATGGGAGCCGGCTCTTCATCATCCAGAGCCGGCTCTCCCTCATGGAGAGCCGGCTCTACCTTCTTGGGAGCCGACTCCCTCATTTAGGGAGCCGGCTTTCTTCCCCTGAGAGCCGTCTTTGTTCCATTACTTCGTCTCTGCTTCGTCCGGTTGCTGTCTGTGCTTCCGGCGAAGTCCAGTGTTCTATTCCATACCTTTTTAAGATTATTAAGGTTCCATTAATGCTCTTAAACCCCTAAAGACTCCTCCTATCCCAATGTGAACCAATTTATAAACAAAACTTAAACTACACACACAGTTTATGTAAGAATAAGTTTAAACTTTAAAACGCAGAACAGATTTCAGAAAACATCAAGCATGAATAAAGTCTGTTTTTAAAAGTTTAATTAAGTTCCTAGAGTCTATATAAGATGCACAAAACACAAGTTTACAAGAGAGGAATAGACTGAAACTTGCCTTTAGATTTCGGTGTGAAACCTTAAACGTCGTCTCTAAATTTAAGTTTCAGAATTCTCTAAGTCTGTTTCCCCTCTGCTCTGCTCACAGTTCCCTTCCTCTATTGCTTTTTGGTTCCATCCAGAAGCAGCCCCTCTATTCTTCCTCCAGTCTTCCTCCTTTAGCCTCACAGATTATATTCCGAGACTCTCTCTGTTTTCCTTTAAAAGAAACTATTTCGTGAATAGGGTTTTTTTTCTTAACAGATGTAAAAGAACATAAATATATATAGCCGTCTATAAAATCCTAACCCTAATTCCAATCCTAACATGTGACGGCTAAAACTCACAAAAGAAAACCCTAAATTTACACTATATATAAAACCAAATAAAACAAATAATCCATTTAAACCATAAATTAATCAAATAATGTAAATTAAAACAATTTCAATTCAACAATTAAATTAAACACATAAATTATAATTAAGCAATTAAGCAAATACACATAAAATAATTTCACCAATTAAAACAATTAATTTAAACAACTAAGTCATATAATTAAATACAAATGAAATCAAAATCAAAATCTAAAATTTAAATTCCCATTTTATCATTTTGAAAACTAGGGGTATTACAGTATGCTTCATAATATCAAGATTTTCATGTAAGAAAATACATAGAATCTCACAAAAATGATAGGAATTCGTAATTTAGACTTTCCCTACCTCAAGATAGCAAACCAAACAAGGCTTTAGCAAGCCCTAACTTTGAAATTCTCCAAACCTTAGCAATATGGGTGCCAAATGGAAGACCTCTCCAAGCTTTCCAACGTCCCTTCTTCCTCTCCTTTAAAATCTACCTTAAACTCTCAAAATCAAAACTTTTTCTTGGAAGACATAAATGTGTGCTTGTGTATGAATATAGAAAGAGATAGAGAAAGTGACAGAGAGAGAGGGGGTGATGCACGAAAATGGGGGAGGAGGTGGTCTGATAAAATCTCAACTTATGGTCATTGGCTTGCCATGTGTCAACTTTTGGTTGATTTCTAATTTTGTGCAAAGTTACAATCTTGCCCTTCTTCAAACCATACATTGTCTCATTTGTCCTATAAATATCTACCATCTAATATATAGATATAGATGCATACATATATGTGAGAAAAGTCCATTATGCCCCTTTCTTAAAATGACAAAACCGGAAGAAGTTCTCGAGTCCGGAAATCGTCTCGACTTCTGAAAAATTCTAAAAATAATACCGTCACTTCTAATTGACTTAAAATGATTAAAAATAAATTTCCAAAACGGGACGAGGATTAAAATAATCCAGAAAAATAAAATAGGAAAAATAGGTAACATTACTGTGAGTGTTCTAGATTGTTAGGCATTTTCCTAAAAAAAAATTGTTAGGCTCTCTCAAGTTTTTCATTATTCAAACATGAGAGTGTGTTTCCAATATAAGTGTAAATCGTTTCATTTTTGATAAATAAAATTTACTTATCCATAAAGGGAAAAGTTATTATTATTATTTTTTGAATGTTAAAGCAAACAAACACATCCTTTTGTTTATGTCTGAGCTCAAATCATTCCCCTCCTTTTTTTAAAATGAGAAAATTACAGCATTTCGATAGATCAAAGACACTTTGACATAAATAAAATAAAATAAAAAACGAAGAAGAAGAAGAAGATGAAGAAGAAGAAGAAGAAAAAGTTGTTCCCATTAACATCAATACTATTATCTGTATGTTACAACAAAGAGTGATTAGTGATATATGGGGCACTTAGAATTTAATATCATCTCCTTAAACTAGGAAAGGTCATGAGAAAAGCAAAATAAAACAAAAAAATAAACTGAGAAAAGGTAAAAGACCATGGAAGCACCGAAGCACATCCCAATGGGCCAATATCACTAAAAGCCATTTACACATTTTCTAGATTAAAAATGCGTATAGGGGAAAAAATAGAATTGGCGGGAACTTATTTGGACACGTATATATATGTAAAAAAATCCCAATTTTATTTTTAAACCAATTCATTCTGATCTCGTCAAATGGACTTCTGAGTTCTGATTAGGGCTTTAGAGAAGAGAGTATGTACGCGAGCCAGTTCGACGGCAACGCCGCCTTCTCCGGCGGCGGTTTCATGCCCTCTCAGGCCACTCAGTCCGCCGATCCTTCCTTCTCTCCCGCCAAAGTACATCCCTCTCTCTCATCACTCCTTTTTTTGACCTTTTGAGTTTCTGTTTTCACTATTCTCTCCTCCAAACAGAGGAAATGATAAGATTTTTTTTAATTATTATTATTTTCTACAAATTCTATTAGTTTTTGTATTCAATATGCTCATCTTGAGTGGAATTATGGTTCAAATACTGTAATTTAGTTTTATCTTCTTACATTTACTCTATACTACCAAATACGAATAAATTAGGGCTTTTCTCTCTCTTCTTCTTTTGCAGAATCGTGATTCCCAGCCTTTGCTTCCATTGACCGTAAAGCAAATAAGCGAAGCGTTCCAGTCCAGCGATGATAAATCCAATTTCCTTATTGACGGTGTTGATGTGAACAATGTGGGGTTTGTCGTAGTTTGATTTTCTGGATCATATTCATCGTTTTATATATATGTGTGTTTTTATTGGGTCTTTTTTTTTTTATTTTTATTTTTTTATTTATAAATATTTTGAACTGTTTTTAGGTTACGTTGGTGGGCATGGTATTGAACAAAGCTGAAAGGGTTACTGATGTTTCATTCGCGATTGATGACGGAACAGGACGTATTGACTGCAATAGATGGTGAATATTTTCAAATGTTATCTTTGAGCTTTGGGTATATTATGGTAATTTCAAGTTCATCGAATGCTAAAGTTGTGTTTTATGACATTAAGGGTAAATGAAGCTGTGGACACAAAAGAAATGGAGGCAATTTTGTAAGTTATCAGTTAGCCTTGCCCATTGCACCTCCTTTCCTTGTGATAATTTTGCAGCTTAATTTAAATTTTATATAGTTGATTGCGTGCTTTTGATATATGTATTATTTTTTATTAAAATCAAGGGATGGCATGTATGTTCGTGTTCATGGACATTTGAAAGGCTTTCAGGGTAAAAGGCAATTAGTAGTCTTCTCTATCAGGTATTGATTCTTTATATTTGTTTTTAAGTACTTTACTGGTAACTATTAATTTTGGCAATTTCAATTATGGTAATCTTGCATTGAGTCGATAAAATATTTTTCACTTATGCAATATCTTGAGTATGTGTTAGGATTATGTACTTTATGGAGCTCAAAGCAAATTAGATTGATGTAGTGGGTGTTTACTGTCTAAATTTATTAAATTGCAATTCTACCACCAGTCTGTTGTTTTTTGGCCAGTTTCTTGATATTTGTAAGGTTTACATGTATATTTAAATTCTTAATACCTACAGTGATGTGTGGTAGACTGGTAGGCTTTTCTCTCTTATAGAGTATTGATATTGCTGAGTGAATATGGAGACTTGCAATTCTACCACCAGTCTGTTGTTTTTTGGCCAGTTTCTTGATATTTATAAGGTTTACATGTATATTTAAATTCTTAATACCTACAGTGATGTGTGGTAGACTGGAAGGCTTCTGTCTCTTATAGAGTATTGATTTCGCTGAGTGAATATGGAGACTGCTAAAATTTTTTTTATTTAATTCACCTGTTTTTATATTGTGCATCATCTAAAATCAATGAGAATATTAACATTTGTTACAATTGTAAAGAATGCAATATAATGACATGTGATCTTACCATTGTGAAGTCGTCTAAGGCTGAAAGCCAACTTCTTTTATGCCCTTTCCCCATCACAATGAGAGCTTCTATTTAAGGTTGTGCTTGGAACTGGGAAGAATATATATATATATATATTTTGGGTAGGTGACTTACTCTCACTCATCCATTTGTCCCTTGGGGACTTGCACTTTCACCTTCAACCTTCCATTTGGAAGTAGGGGTGCACATGGTTCCGGTTCTCATGGTTCCGGCTGGAACCGGAACCGGAACCGTTCACGACGGTTCCTTGAAAATGGAACCGGAACCGGAACCGTATAGCATGGAACCGAACCGGAGAAATGGTACGGTTCCGGTTCGGTTCCCATGGAACCATCAACTCTCAGGCAAGCACGGAGCTTCAGACGGGTTAGGACCGTTAGGTTTCGGCATCGGAAAGAGATGAGCTTGAGAACTTCGTCGCCGATGCTCGCATATTGCGATCGCATTTCAGAGAGAGTTTAGTCACCGCATCGAACCTCGAAAATAGAAACGGAACCACCGAGAGCAGATCGGTTTGGGTGTTGAGAGAGAGACGGTGACGGCTCTGTCCCTCGATCTTAAACCACCGGCGATAGACGAGAGAGCATCGTTTCCGATTACCGGAGCCAAGCGACTGGAATATGCAAGCTAAGCACTCATCGGGAAGGTTGGAGATGTAGTCGGGGAGATCAGGAGCGTCGGATAATGATGTCCTCAATTGACCAACATGTCGGCGTCGGTTAACTCTCGGCAAGCACAGAGCTTCAGACGGGTTAGGTTTCGACATCGGAAAGAGACGAGCTTTGTGCATCTGTACTAAATTACTAATCCCAGCTTTTCATCTCTGCTGCATAATCTTGAATCTTCCACCTCATCAACTGAAGGAGCCTCGCACCCAAGAGTTGATCTATCAGTATCATCTCTCAAACCACTAGATTTTGTAGTTTACATACAGTTAGTTGCAGAGAGAGAGAGGGCAAGTTCAGAGTCGAGAGAATAGAGATGGAGAATGGAGGCGATTGGGGAGGCTGAGGCTCAAATTAGGGCAAAAAACTAAAAAAAATAGGTATGTATATACAATATATACACGGTTAATTTTATATAATATATATATATAATTATATATTATAATATATATATATACATACGGTTCTGGTTCTTACCGGTTCCCACAGGCTGGAACCGGAACCAGAACCGTATGTACACGGTTCCTAAATTCGGAACCGGAACCGGAACCAGAACCGTGAAAAACGGTTCCGGTTCCGACGGTTCCGGTTCCGGTTCCACGGTTTCGGTTTTTTTGTGTACCTCAATTTGGAAGGATGAGATATTAAGCCTTGGTGGTAAATTAGAATAATTTTTTAAAGAATGATAACTCTTTGTGGCACTAAAATGGTCTTTGGTTGCTTTTTCGGATCATATATGGAGACCCAAGTTATGGTGAAAATATTTCATGCCTCGTATTATGCTAAGTTTTAATCTTTAGAAGGAGTTTAGGTTTATATTATTGTTTTGGTTAGGTTCAGCATAAGTTATAAAATATGTGAATGATTAGATTGCAGAAATGGCGTTATAAGACCTTAAGAAGCACGTACACTTCTATGAGGTGTCGTATCCGTGTCAGAATTTGCTGCTCCATGGACACGCCTAGACATGTGCCCGGCACTTCATCATCACGTCCATTATTTAAAAATAAATTTTATTTTTATTTATTTATTTATTTTAATTTCGGACACTTGGCCGACACATCTTGGACACTTGGTGTACACATTCTGGACACTTGACCAACACATTCTACGCTTTTCGTCTTATATAAAACAGACATCGCACACGACTGTCTTGAAAACAACCTTATGAACATACATCAAAGTGTTCAATCTCTAAGGAACAAAAACATAACTATAATGACAAGATAGGATACTAATATAATATATAATATAACATATTCTTTTTTTATATTCAAATAGTGTCATCTTCTAACTTATGTAACTTTAGTACATAGTTTATAAATTAATTAAAGTTCTATGATTGTCTCATTTAATATATATATAAATTTATATCTATATTAGCCATATCCACATTATGTCCATGTCCTACTTTTTTAGAATTTGGCATGTTGGCGTATCCGTGTCGTATCGTGTCCGTGTCCGTATCCCTGTCCGGTGTCCGTATCCGTGCTTCTTAGATAAGACCTTACTAGGATAATGGTATTAGAATATAATATGATGAAATAAAAGAAATGTATATATCTGCGCTAAATTCCTATAAATGACAAGTGGCTGAAGATGTAGCATCAAAGGTCTGATGTCATGGTTGTCTTGCTCGTAAGTTAGTATTTTGATTCCTTGCTTGGGTTTTAGGTGCATGGATGAGAATTGTAGTTCAATGACCTATAAATTTTAATTTAAACTTTTTTGTCCCACAGTTTGGGTCATTAAGTATTTTAGTAGTTATTTATTAGTTTTAGGGATTCAATGTGGAGTTGTTTGTGTCAAGTAGATTTAATTTATATTTAAACAATAGGATGTAAGTTGTTATAGTCAATATTTTGCTATCATTTTTTGCTTCTTTTTTCTGTCAATTTAGCTGTGAAGAGCATCACTTTTATATTCTCTTTAACTCTGGTTAAAATACGAAGTTTTGGATGTTTGTATTGATTTTTTCTTTTCTTTTTCTTTTCTTTTTTGAATATCTATCATTTTCATTAGTTTTAACCTCAATGTTATCAGGGCATCCAAAGTTGTAACTTTTTGGTAATGCTGCAGAAAATGCTCATTTATCTGTTTTGGTGGTTCAGCAAATACATTTAAAGCTAAAAAGGCTTTCTTGATCTGTGTTGAAGATATTTTAGTTCCAGTGCTAGTGCTACAGGTTATATTGTAGTCTGAACAAATTATGTGACCTAGTTAACAAGGGAGCCATGAGAACATCATGAACATGGTGTGGAAATATATTATTTATTTTATTATTTTAGTCATATTGTATACAATATTATAATGGGTCTTGCTGTAACATTTCTGATCTTGGACCTTCAAATGTTTTTGAGTGGAAACTTGAGGATGTACATGCTACTTCATTGGTACAATGTGAATATCAGTATTAAAGGGAAGAGCTCGTGTGTGTGTGTGTGGTGCGCAACTTCGCATGTTCTAGTTCAGCCATGCAGGTTGAAATTAAAAACTAAAAGAGTTAGCCTGTTAACGCTTGAAATTAATTGATACCCAAATGAAGTTACACCTCTCGTGTTGATTGCTTGTAGAATCTTGCACTTTTTTAAGATCGTGTTGCAGCAATGTTTTATTGTCATCAAGGTGATGCTTATTTTTCATTATCTGGGTTTTTAGTTCCTTAGTTGGTACTTGTTAACCATGAGCTGTACTGCTGCTCCGCATACGGACAATAATGACTTGGACCTGTTTGTCATCCAATGTGGGATTAATGTAAAAATGATGATGATGACCTGTTTGTCAGCCAATACAATCACTATAACACCATAAGGTGGCTGTGGTTAAGATAATCCAAGAACCTCTGCCTCCACGGTATTAATTAAAATCCGAGTGAAGATGTACCAATGGGCTCTAGCCTAGATGGTATAAGTTCCCCTCTCCAAAGGAGAGGTTGAGTGTTTGAGCACCAGTAGGGGTAAAATATAGTGGGTGTGTCATGCGTGTTTGCATGAACTTTTGACCAAAAAAAAAAAAAAAACGGAGTGAACATGTAAAGGTGGTTTGTTAATGTTGCTACATGTGGGAAAGAAGCAATTAGCAAATTTAAACTTGAGTTCATCTGCAACAAGAAGCTGTAATATTTATGTAGGACTCATTTCCAATGATATATTCACACACAAAAAATAAGTCCTGTTTGTTCATTTCTTAATGCAAGTTTTTGTTCTGTTTCTGATCAAGATGTAATCATGAGCTTGGTTGTGATGTTCAGGCCAGTGACGGACCACAATGAGATTGCATGCCACTTCGTTGAATGCATCTATGTCCATTTCTACAACACTAGATTACGGGTATTGATATTACTCATTTTAAATTAAATGTGAAAAGTAATGTACATGGATGTAAGTAAACATTCTATACATTCTGCTTCATTCTCATTAGGATTTTTGTATTTTTGCTAATAGAAGCTACAGGGACAGGGTGGTGTCCCTGCTCCGGCCCATATGCTGAATTCAGCAGTTGGCACCCCTTCAAAGGGATATCAAGGTGCCCCACCAAATCAGGTACGGTAGTTGATATCAGGAGTTCTATACTCTGCTAGTTCATAACTGACACATTTACTGGTCCTCTTGATTTTTCGTTTAGCAGTTTTCTGGACAATACAGCATTGATGGTCTCAAGGGCATTGATCAAATGGTCATAGACTATTTGCAGCAACCTTCTTGCCTGTGAGTTATCTATAATGACCTCTATTCTTTTACTTTTGTGTTGATCTTCCTTCAGCCTATATATCATTAAATTACTCTCACATGTGCGCTCTGTGTTTGTGCAAGCGCACACGATCATTTAGGAAGAGATGAATTGGAATCTCTGGTGAAATGTTCTATAGAGCCGGGTTTCTTAGTATATGGTATCTGAGGTGCTTTCTTAGATTCGACTATGTGTACCCCATTGCAAACTCCTGCTATTTATAGGGTTACTACAGAAAGAACTTTTACTCCATTGCCAAGTTAGAGCTCTGCCTGTTTGATTTACTGCATATATGGCCATAGACTAATGGTGGGGGTGAAAGGTGTTTTTTTATTTTTGTAATTTTTTTCATTCCAATATATAAACTTCTTGCTGTAGTAGTTGGATTTAGCTTGTCATGCTCATTTTGTTTCTATGTAATTTTAGAATGGATTTTTTTTTTCTTTCTTAATTGTAATTTTAGGATGGATTCATTAAGTGCATTGGTTAATGAACAAGTACATTCCATAGGCAACTGACTGGTCACTGGTATATAAATTTAAACTTTACCTTACGCTTGTTGTCCACGTGTATAGATAAATTTAACAATACCTGTGTATTTAATTTTTTTTTTTTAGTAAACGATATCTGCTCATCATTGTCATCAACATCTTGGGCATTTGATTGATGATTCTTTGTTTATGATGCCTTTGTGCTGCTTGTTGTTAACTGACTTCTTTAAATTTTGTAATGATCCAGAGCACGGGAAAAGGGTGTACATCGTGATGAAGTTGCCCAACAATTAAACATTCCAGTGGAGAAGATCATGTCTCTCTCTCTCTCTCTCTCACACACACACACATCGGTATTTGCATGCAGAAAATTTCTGATTCTTTTTACCTTATTGGGCCTTTTACAGGGAATCCATCAGATCCCTTGAAGAAGAAGGCCTGATTTACTCAACAATTGATGAATGCCACTACAAATCTACTGGCAATGGTTGATGTCTTGCGTAAAAAAAAAAAATAAGAAGATGAAATCAACTAGAGGACTAGTAAGCAGATGCTATCTATATCTCTTTTCAATTGTGCTATGTAGTTTAGTATGACTATTATATGTTAGTGAGGAGATAGACTGAATTAGATATAGTTGAGGAAATGTGATATTCCATGAGCTTCTCATAATTTCATGACGCTATTTTTTTCGGGATGCAAGTGTAATTTTACTTTTGATGCACCAGTTGACCTGAAGTAGAAATAAGCTAGGGGCAGTAGATAGAAATAAGAAAGCTATTCCGGTTTTAGTTGGTGGAGATGGAATGAAGTAGGAGGATGATTGGCTATGAAGTCTTGGATCAAAGAAAATAACAACGAATGTGGACGTGGTGTTTTATGCATGGTTTGGAAGTTATAAAATTGTGATAGTTGAAAGAGTCTAGGTTCCTTCCTTGTGGCCGGCTTTATCAAAATGGTTATATTATTCTTGTTTTAAGCAAAATAAGTGAATCTAATGGAGAACTTCAGCTTTAGTATTTCTATGCATAATGCTACGGCTTGTAGCTTAGTACTGGCTTATAATAACTTGATTTTTTTATGAATCACATGGAACACTTATATTTTTCCTTTTTTTATTTTTTATTAGGGGTGGGGCGTTAAGAAAATTAAGCACGTGAAACTTTGAAAAGAGAACATTAATCACATGGTATCTCTTATTTTGTGTGTATATATGGACACGTGTTTGGAATGGTGGGGGTTTGGTACTTGATGGTGCTAACAATTGAATAGATTTTTTTGCTTATTCATTATTTTTAATTGGAGTGAGGGTTTCGTGCCCTCCCTTTGGGAGGAGGGTGACAAATACATTCAGGCACTTCCAAATCTGAATTCCATATTTTAATCGAGTCCTAAACGTCGTCATAATTCTATTCTCCCAAACAATTAGGCATTGAATCGCACCACGACTGATGCATGCACATCTATGCACCCTTTTCAAAACAATACTATTGGTTTCATATGCATGCCTTGGGGTACGTTGTGTTGACTTGGTGATAAATTGGAGGTGGTGAGAACGCCAATGTCAAACGCCCTCTGAATTGTCTGACTATAACTAGTACCTTTCCATGCTTTGAAGAGTCACTGACACATCATATATTTAAATGAGCATAGCAAAGCTGATTCTTCAGCTGTTAGACTCAGCTTGCTAAAGCCCAAACCGTGTTTAGACTGGACAAATGTTTCAACCACCTCCAGCTCTCGGTTAGCTCAAGCTTAAGTCCTTGAGACTTCCTTAATCACTTGGCCATTGGCCATCCGTGCAGATTCGAATAACTCAAGCTTATTAACAAATGATGCATACCAAATCATTATGTGTGTGTGTGTGTGTATATATATATATATATATCTAGCGAGAGAGTATCAAAATTGATTGATTTTTGTTGAAAAGGACTCTTGTGAGACAGCATTTTGAAGAGTAGAAAATCGATCGCTTGTGATTTTCTTAATGAACAATGCGGGAATCCAACTTTAAGTCAACAGTCTAGCTGTGGAACTTACACGCAGTTGATGATGATGAAATGAATAGGAATCCCATCATTGTTTGTGATATTTTCAAAACCGTTACCCAAGAACTACTGCCACGTGTACTGTGTGATAATGTTGGGTTGAATCCGTGTCTAAATATCGCCAGCCCTTGTCAATAATGTTACTGCAAGCCCGATCCAGTTGTCCGCCTAAACCTGCTCCAGTCGTGTATTTCAAGGTTGCACGTGCAAGCTAGCTGATACGGCATTATTAGACGTCACGTGCCTGTCTACCTCTCACCGCCCTCGCGACCTCTAGCCTCGTGACAGGTGGGCTGGTGTCTCCATGCATTCAGAGAGGAAGGCACGTGCATGTGTCCTTACGTTCTTCATTCTTAGCTACTCGTTTAACTCTCACTACGAGTATTTTACAAGGTTTAATAACACATGTTTTGTTATTTGGTTGATAATTTATATACTATATAATCAATCTTTCATATCAACACCACTTACATAATTCAATTAAAATTTTCTTTTCTTTGCTATTACGATTCCCATTCCCATTTTTTTTTTTTTCTCTTCTTTTTATTTTATACAGGTATTCGTTTTCTTTCATTTCATTTTAGGACAATTTTGATTTGATACTTGTACTATTTAATAACAATACTCCCTCTGTTTTCAATATGTTGCACAAGAGAGAATTCGATTGTAGCCTTCTAGATTGAAGGATCTATACACACACACACACACACACACACATATCACCTGAATTTATACGTACTTAAAAGTCCAATAAAATGAAAAGAGTTACAATGATAGTGATGATATAATCATACTCAAACTGTGGATCGGAGGGTTAAAACTCAATGGACCTGCTTGGGCGGTCCTATTGTCTGCATCAAGAAAACACATGCTTGGTGTCTAAGAATTATACAAGAGACCTTTCCCAATCCACAGAATGTAGAAATAATAATAATATATAAGGTCTTACCAAAACCAGAATATATATATGTACTTGGTGTATCCATACAAATTAAATTATTGAAGCTCATGTGGGAGGTGATTTTTTTTTTTCCCTAAGTCATGTGGGAGGTGATTATGGAGCCAATATTAAAATTAGGTTGCAAACGTGGAGTATGATTCGTTCACTATTTTCTGCTACTGTTACTTTAACCATACTTTGACCGGGGACAAATTTGGGGCATGGAATTATGGACTTTCTGTATTATATATTATATTTTAATATCAAATTATTACTTTTTACCCTGAAGGAAACAAATAAAAAAATCAAATGCGAACACTATCACGCCGAATTCCCTGCTAATCTGCTTCCTCGTCTTCAGTTGGCAAAGAAAAAATATATAAAAAAAATTCTTCAGTTGGCAAAGTCCCTTAAGCAAAAAAAAAAAATAAAAAAAATAAAAAATCTTCACTTTGCTTTTGGCAAAGTCCTTTTGTGTTTCAGTGTTTGTTTGATTGCTTAGTGTAGAAGCGTTTTTAAAACTTAAGAAATATAGGTTAGCTGTGTTGGGTAGTTTAATCATTCTCACATTGGCTAGCGAATAAGAAAATTTGGGATTTACATCGGGGTAATGGCCCCTCTACTTAATAGGTTATCTTTTTGGATTAGATATTCACAAGTTCAACAAGCAGTGTCACAGTTAAGTCCCAAAATATAGCACGTAGACCCAAAATCTCCCGGCTGGTAGGTAGTTGAACGAGACCCATATCGGTTAGCGAATAAAAAAATATGAAACTTAGACTAGCATTGGCCACTTCACCTAACAGGTTAAACAACTTTTTGTGTTAGACACCACTAAATCCAACAAGCTGTAAATGGAAAGAGTCCTATTATGCTGAGCTTGAGCTCAAGAATGAGAAACTTTCTTGAAAGACTAAAGCTTTGCTATTACAGAAATGGCACTATTTTAAAAATTAATTTCAGGGGGGTATTTTTTAAATTTTAAAAAAATTAGTGGGGCCAGCATGGGCCATGGGCTACTCTGTCCCTAGGGGTGCCCATCCTTACATTCACGTGTTCGGAGGATATATTCTTGTTTTGTTATCTTTTACTATTTTTTGTAAAATTTTCAATTATTAATCTTACGATGATGTGAGATCTAATTTATTTATTTTTATTTATTTATTTTTAAAAGTAGAAGGGAGAATGCCTCTCGACAAGAATACTTTTAAGAGCTGGAGGTTTCTCTCTATGTATTAGAGGAACAGATTAATTCAGGAGCGAATCACTTTGCCTATAATTTTCACTGGTTGAGGTGAATAAGATCTTGCAAAATCCTTTTAAAAAAACAAAGACTAGATCTCTCCAGAAACATTGTATGAATTATTTGTAAAAACAAACAAAAAAAAATTACTAGACATTTTAAAATATATAACTCGATCATGCAAGAATTAGGTATGATTTTTTTTTTTTTATTTAAAAAAATTATGTTAATAGATGTTAATTATTACAATATTTTTCCTAACTCACTCAATCACTTATTTTTTTATTATTAAAAAAATCATATTACCTACACTAATATTCATTAATTTGTGGTGATTTTCGATTGAACCATCAATTATTGTGAATCCACAAGGATCTTATGAGAGATGTATATTGATACTGTGTGGCAAATTCAATTAGACACAACATGGAAACCTTTAGCCACTAGCTGGCATGTGAATCCACAATGATCTTACGAGAGATGTATGTAGATATTGAGACAAATTCAATCAGACACAACATGAATCCTTAGCCACTAGCTGACATATATGTAATCTTATACATACATACATACACTCATACACACATATATATAAATATATATACATAATACTTAGGGACACGTGTTACTTAAAGAAACATGCAGCCATGCACGTGGGTGCCATTAAGCATATCTAACATTTTTTTTTCTTTGCAAAAGGCAGAAACTTCTCTCCATCCTCCTGTAAGTAGCCTTGGATGCTCAGTGAAATGCCAAGCCCTACTCCAATATCCCTTTGTATCTTCCTCATGCAATCTATATTTTTTTATTTTTTTACTATTAAGATAGGTAAGTTTAAGTTTTAAATGGAAAAAATAATTAAAGATGAATTTAAAATGTTATTTTTTTTTATTTATTTGAGGTATTCGAAAATTCTTTCCGAATTCTAGTGAGAATTGAATCTCAGACCTTAGTGTTAGTAAACACTCAAATCTAAATAATTTTATCACTGAACCAATTCCTTCGAGTTGATGAATTGAAATGTTCATAGAGAATTATCCTCAATCAAATTAGAAGTAACATATTGCGTCACATCCTCATGTTAAAAGGGTACAAAAGTTGGGACTCTCTTCTTTGGAAACTATTGTGTACTTCAGAGAGTACCAGTAATACAACAGCTTACATATATATATCTACGACTAATATGAAAGTGATTATTTTGTATGAGTAACAGATACATTTGTACACAAACACGCACGTATATATAGGTTTCCATCACAGGCCAAGGAGTACCTTTGGATTGGGACTAAAGCCTCCTAAAGAGGCGCGAGTAATTTATATACTCTGTTATTTGTTTACTAATATGGAAAAAGAAATGACACGTGTCAAACGCTGGGACCAATCAAATGATTTCAAAGTCCATCTCACGGGTCATCGTGTCGCCTTTTCCTCCCTCCTGCTTCCCCACAAACAACACCTCATTCCTAGCCTCTCTCTCTCTAGAGAGCACTTTCTCTCTCTAGAATAGTTGCTTTCTTCGGTCAAGGGGAGGGAGACAGATAGAGAGAGAGACCGCCCAGTCATCCCATGAAATGCTTCCACTTGCTTTGCTCTGCATTTACTGTATTACTTAATAATTATTATTCAACCATAACCCTAGCTCTTCACAGAGACTGCATCGATGCTCGTGCAACCCCTCTCTCTCTTTCTAAAACTCACCTCTATATCTGTGTCATCCTCAGCCTCTCTTCATTTACATTTAACCTTCATTACATCGGTTCAAACCCCCATATCTCTCTCTCTATCTCTTTCTCTCTCTAAAACTAAAACTACGCTGTTTCCCGAAGAACAGAATCCATCTCTTTCACGCTCAACGACGACATGGATTCTTCTCAGAACTGGCTTGGCTTCTCTCTTTCCAACCACCACATGCCCTCTGATGATTCTTCTCAGTTCTGCCTCTTTGAAGCTTTCAACACAAACCACAGTACATACTTTCTCTCTCTAAAACAGTACTACTTCAATATATACTCTTGTATATGTGTGTGTGTGTGTATATATATATATGCACAAACACTAACATGCATGCTATGTTTTTTCATCTACAGGTGGTGGGGTACTTGATAGGTCTGAAGAAGATGGTGCCCAAGACTTGTCTATAGTTACCGGCGGTGGAGGTCCAAAACTCGAGGACTTCCTTGGTGGTGGGTGCAGCACCAACTCCGCCACCACCGGAGCTACTGCCGATGCGTGTCAGTTCACAGTCGATACTCCGGTGAGTGTGTCAGCTAATGAGATATATGATTCAGAGCTCAAAACTATAGCTGCAAGCTTCCTGCGTGGAATCTCCGACACCCAGAAGCAGTTGGTGGTGGCGCCGCCTGAGCCGGCGGCAGCGAAGAAGGCCGTTGAATCCTTCGGCCAACGCACTTCGATCTACCGCGGAGTCACCCGGTAATCACCCACTTATAACTTCTGCAAAAATGTTAGATTGGAGATATTGTTGACGATTCAATTGAAATTACAGATGAGTGCTCTTACTTTTGGTATTTTTACTTCATAGGCATAGATGGACAGGCAGATATGAAGCTCATTTGTGGGATAATAGTTGCAGAAGAGAAGGGCAAAGCCGGAAAGGACGTCAAGGTATGAAAAAAGAAATTAGGGTTTTTTTTTTTATATTTTTTTTGCTAAAATGCGCTAGTGGGTATAATTTATTAACCTGCACCATGATATGTGGTTTTGGGAGTAAAATTGGCTAAATCAACGGCTTAGATCTCCTGGTTTTGAAAACCATAGGCGCGTGTTAGATTTCACGTGGTGGATGGTGCTATAATGTGCATTACTGATATCATGAGCTAGCGAGAAGATTCTGATATTGTCTACCTAATATGTTGGCATTGATGTTTTTTATTCCTTGTTTGGCATGTACATGGCGAATCATTGCTGTGCGTGGTCGAACTAAAATCATCATTCCAAAATTTCAGTTTATTTGGGTGAGTACTACTACTTTAATTCATTCGTGGTCTTTTCATTCACTTCCTTATCTAAGATTAATCAAACTCATCATTTTTTTCGTACTACATTATAAAAGATCCTTCTTCCATCAATATAGTAATTAAACATTCATGTTCAGATTCTTCTTGGATTCTATATCTTACTGTGTGTGTATATATTTATTTGTGTGTATATCTATTATTCTCATATTTTACTGTATAATATTCTTGTGATCTATATAGGTGGCTATGATAAAGAAGAAAAAGCAGCTAGAGCTTACGATCTTGCAGCCCTTAAGTACTGGGGTCCGACCACCACTACAAATTTTCCGGTATGGTTCTTGTGTGTGTATATGTATATGTATATTTATATGTTTAGTTTTGTTTTGATGTAGTGCAAATTGTTTCTAATATTTTCTTGTTTTAAAGGTGTGCAACTATGAGAAGGAAATAGTGGAGATGAAGAATATGACTCGGCAGGAGTTTGTTGCTTCTCTTCGAAGGTCATACTTTTTTACATGTTTTATTTATTTATTTTGAAGAAAAAAATATGTATATTTATGTTGGTGGGTGGTTGTATATATCTAAAGAATTTTTTGAGTTCAGTCATTAACATTTATTTTGTTGAATGCAGAAAAAGTAGTGGCTTTTCTAGAGGAGCCTCTATCTATAGAGGAGTCACAAGGTTTGTTTATTTTGTCTAAGTGTATTGATCTCATTCACTTTTCACACTTCATGAATATTTATTTATAAACTTAATACATTGAATCTAACAATACATTACATTAATATTCATTGTGAATGCTTAATTATTTTCAGGCACCATCAACATGGTCGTTGGCAAGCAAGAATAGGAAGAGTTGCAGGAAACAAAGATCTCTACCTTGGAACATTCAGTGAGTCCCTTTTTTATGGTTTTATTTATCAAAGAAAAAAGAAAGAATACAAATATCAATTTATGCTGAAATATGGATCTACATTTCTGTACGGATAAGAATTTATGAGTTGTGTAAAACAGGCACACAAGAAGAAGCTGCAGAGGCCTACGACATTGCCGCTATCAAGTTCCGAGGCCTAAACGCCGTGACCAACTTCGACATGAGCCGATACGATGTGAAAAGCATTGCCAGCAGCAATCTGCCCATCGGAGGAATTGCCGGCAAGTCCAAAACTTCATCCGATTCCGCTTCCGACAACAAGAGCATCAACAACGGAGGCCGATCGGACGACCGGGATCTCTCTTCTGCTTCATCAGTGGTAACATTTGCATCACAACCTGCAGCCTCTACACTGAGCTTTGCACTGCCCATCAAACAAGACACATCAACAGTAGATTACTGGTCCATCCTAGGGTATCAGAAACCACATTCTCTGAACAATACCAAAACCCTAAGCGCAACTTCAACCACTCTCTACCAAGCTTCCACCAATGGTACACACTACCAGAGTACAGCACCTTTCAGCATGGATTTCTCTCTAGCTTCAACAGTGATCAATGGGAGTAACAACAGTAACAATATTGTTGGGTTGATTGATAGTGGTAATTATAATTACCTTGAGCAACAAAGCAACAACCCTACAAGTTTTGCTACCCCTATAATTACTACCCTAAACACTAGTTATGATAATAGGACTAGTTTTGGTGATTGGGTTGTTCCGCCACTGCATACCTTCCAATCGGCCAAACCCAATCTATCAGTGTTTCAGACACCAATTTTTGGGGTGGAATGAGGTCAGGAGGAGAAGAAAAAGAATTGTGTGCATGTGAGGGAATATGTGCATATGGGAAGAGGGGCACAACAGTAAAATTAATGTGGTAAATTGCTTGATTTACTTTATTCACAAGTTGGGTGGTGGGTCAAATTGAATTTTGAGATGGGACAGAGGAATTATTTGACAGGATCAAAGCTGACAAAGAGTAGTAGTACTACTAACTGAAGTTCTTTGCTAAGGACTATGCTCTTTTTCTGTCTTTTCTTTTTCTTACTCTACTGACATGATTTATATATGGGTATAATGAAAAAAGACTCCTCTTTTTGTAATCCTTCATTTATGTTAATTTTCCGGCTTGTTAGTAATTTAGTTTTGTATATAGTATCGTTTATTCACCACTATTTTTCTCTCTGTGTGACTATGTTTCTCTCCCTCTTTTTGCCTATTCTAATTAATCTCTCTCAATCTTGGGGGAGAATTTTTTTCATATATGTGTGCTTGCAATATATTCTTGTTTGTGGTGTATATATATATATATGTGGCATGCAGTGAATGCCGTGTTCTCATATTTTATATGTAATGAATGCATCCAGCTATATGTATTTTGTTTTTAAAAAAAAAAATTTAATTCAAGGAAATGCACAAAACACTCGAGAGATCATAATACAATGTGTGTAATTTATCCTTGTAATGCATGTAGTATACAATATAATGCATGTGGTAGGATACAGATATTTCTTTATGTTGAAATCTGAGGAATTTTTTTTTTTTTTTTTCCTGTGACATGCCAGAATACACTAAGATGCAGCAAGTTGTATATTTAACCGATCAAAATATTCATTGTATGACGAGCGTATGTTCATTCTGATTCTCCATCAGAGGGATATATATGGTGGTATATACAAATATATACTTAGGGTCTTGTGATTGTAGGATTTGGTGAGAATTAGATATGTGCAGTACAATAGTCTTGTCATTGCGGAATCTGGTGAGAATTAGATATGTACAGTAGGATGGTAGGATGGTATTGGGATCCGGTGAGAATTAAATATGTACAGTACGATGGTCTTGTAGTCATTACAGGTGGAGTGAGTGAGATATTTGTGGTGTTTTAAGAGCTGCCCTCCCTCACCTAGAATATATAAGCAAAATGCATGCATGGGCAAAGGGTCCAACATGCATATATGCCATGGAGTTTTTGTTTTTGGGTAAATTAACTCAATTTTAGACATCGCACATTTGCACCATATATCAAAGAAGCCACTGTTGTCCATCTATACATCAGGAATTCATGATGCTTAAAATTTTAAAGAGTTAAGGTTTCAAAAGAGCATTTTTATTCCTCTAAGTCTCCTCCAAAACTTTCAACTAAAAAACAAAATGTCTCCTCAAAAATAATAATAATAATAATAAAAAAATAAAAATAATCACAAAAACAATCTCGCTTTTATGACTAATCTTACCCGATCTTAAAATCAGCTGTCTAAATTGAACTAGTGATGAGTAGACAGTACTGGATGTATATGAAGAGAAAGGAACAGTCAAAAAAAAAAACAAAAAAAACAGAGTTTGTGGCTTTTGAATTGGATGACGTTTTATCAAATTAAACTTAAAAGAGTGGACTACGTGAGAACAAGGACTTAAATTAAGTGGCGAGTGATTGATGACCACAACTGGGATATTGATGATCATTCGTAACAATGATATACAAATACTTAAAAGGTTGGCAAAAATGAATTTGAAATTGTGGTCTGAAACTAAAAGCATGTGGCCTAAAGATTCACATTGTTGAGAAGCATGTTGTACTCTAAAAGGTGTTAAATAAGAGGGCCATTGCTTGACCAAAAGTGGGATAACAAACTTTGGAGATTTTATATACTAATAATTATATACAAGAGGACAAAATAAACACCAATTCGCTGTATATGTTGTCTCTTAAAGCTTTTTGGATGCTCTCACCACAGATTCAATTCAAATCCTGTCTTTTCTTGTCTCTCTCCCCACCCTTGGATGATGGTGTTGTCCTTGTACCTTTCGGCGCTTATTACATTCTCACCCCACCACTAACCCCCTAACTTTGACCCTTGTTTTGACTCATATCTATCTATCTATCTATCCATCTATATATATATATATATATCTATAGATATATATCCATATATATAAAGACAATTTTAGTTGATTATCTAATAATTAATTAATAATTTTACAACTTAAGTACTGTTAATAACTGTTCAAAGGATCAAATTTTAGTTTCACAATGGCTAATTTAATAATTCTATTACTAATCAACCTTTTAATTTATTGTTATATTAGCAATTATAAGAATAAAATAATCAACGGATCAGTAGTGTAGCGGTATCAGACTCTTAATTTTTAAAGAACGGTTAAAGATTCAAGCTTCCGAAAAGACATGTGTGCGTGAGTATCAATTTTATAAAAAAATTTTAAGAATAAAATATATATGTATGTATGTGTGTATATACACACACACTACCATATGTAACAATGTTCCTCTTTTAAGTAATTAATTAGATCTATATACATGTTTAGAATAATCTTATGTTCTCATTTTTCACATTTACTTTTGCATACTTGTATTTCAATTATTTTTCTTAGAGAAGCAAACGACCTATCTACTTGTACATCTTTCATTAATTTTTACATTCCATAACCATCTTACAAAAATAATCTCACACTTTATTTTTGATAGACCAGAATTGTATAAAGGTAGAGTGATGATACCACATTCTTTTTCTTTTTGAAAATTCAAAAAGTAGAGCTCAAACGATGTATTTGGGTTGTTTTTTTTTTAATATGAAGTTGTAAACTAAATTAGTATTCAAAAACGTTTTTTTTTAGTTAATGATTTCTTTGTGTCAATGATTGTATATTAACTACTAAGGGATTTAAGTGTAAACTTGTTAGTTACAAGAATGTGTAATGTTCATGCACTCATAAATTAAAGGAAAAATGTGTATAAGTCATTGGACTAGTGTAACGGGTGAAGTTATTGGGTATTGCTGCATACCTACTAATCACTCATTTATACCCAATTACTTTTTTCATTCGGATTTGATATGGGACAAATGACCTTTATTACATTCTCCCCCACCTATCTACAACATTCTCGTTGTGGTTCGGGCCACCCTACCTACTCGAGTTACAAACTCAGATTTCTTTCGAGTCGGAGGCTTGACGTGACACTGGATCAAAGACTGGATTTTACTCGAATACTAACTGTAATTGGTAGACGCATGTCCATTTACCTAAAAACTCAAACTATGGAGTAGTACTGCATACTCATACATTTATATTCAATCACTTTCCTATTCAGATACGATATGATACAAATGATCCTTATTACAACTAGATAATACAAGGTTCTCTCTCTCTCTCTCTCTCTCTCTCTCTCTCTCTCTCTCGGGGGGACTAAAACATGGACAGAAAAAGTTAAGAAGCTCTATTAATTAGACTAAGGAGTAATACTTGACTTAATACAAGTTGAGACCAATTCAAAATGGACACGCTGTACATTAAACTCACTCAAAGTGCAAATTATGCATCGGTTTAGAAACTGAGTGAGATTTGGGCCTGAATAAAGAAGATTACCTTTGAAATTACTTAACTTTCCATATCTATTAAGAAAGCAATATGACATTGAATAAAGAAGAATAATAAGAAAAGAAATTGTCGTGCTCTTTGGAACCAAAGCATGTCCTGTAGGTGTATGAACACCTAGGTTTTGTAATGACAAAATTCCTGGCTGGACATTAGGTGTAATTAGACCAATTAGCCCTTCATTTCATGAACTCCCGACATGCAGTAATAAATAACAATTTTTAGTCCAATTAATATAACATAACACTGTATATATTCATTATATATATATCATTCATTATACAAGCAATATCAAATAAATTTAACTCTTAGATCAGCATTCAAGCTATTCTGAGTTGCATGTTCTAATTTTACCCCAGTTGATTCTTGATTAACTGAGCTACCATTCTTTGGTTAGTTGCTAACCATTAATCAACAACAAACCACTTAAAAATTAGGAATTATTGCATATAAATGGTGCTAATGACCCATATTTATCATTTAATGGAATTAAAGTCTTATATTTTGAAAAAAATAAAGTTAACCAAAATGCTGATGGACCTGAAAAAAAACTATTTACCCTGATGTATCACTTTTAGGCACATATGTACCACTTTTTGTGCATCAGGTACCATTTTTATTTTGGGCATAGAAGTACTACTTTTTGGGCACAGAGGTAGCACTTTTTTGTGTAAAATAAAAAGTGGTACCTGAATGCAGAAAAAGTAATACTTATGTGACTAAAAGTGTTACTTCAGTGAGAGTAAACAGTGTTCTTCTATGTCTTCATTTTTTCAAAATCATGAGACTTTGACTCCATTAAATGATAAATATGGATCATTAACACCATTTATATGTAACCAATAGGACAGTGATCTAGCGGTATCAGCCTTTTACTTCTCAAAGGAAGGTCAGGAATTCAAGTCGTGAGTATCAACTAAAAAAAAAAACAAAAAAAAAAACACAATTTATATGTAATAATTCCTAAAAATTATTAGGTCATTAGCCCCGCTGATATAAGATTTTCTCTTGGTCGAGAGGATAATAATTAATATTATTATTATTTAAATTCAAGCAAATACACACAAATACACCTATAATATTATTTCTAATAAAATTCAACCACTCAGATGTATGTTTTGAAAAGAAAAAAATCATACCATCTAAATTAACGTGTATTGATTCTTAATCAAGGTGTTTGTGATAAGTTAATTTATAAGAAAGTACCGGGGAAGAGTACGTACAAAATTCCTTGTATGTGGGTAATATGTATGCAATAATTTTTCTTCTTAACATAAAACAGCTAGCAAAGGTCGACAGACAGCACATGGCATTTCCTGAAAAGGCTACGTTTTGAATGCAACTAAGGTGCTAGTCAAATACACATATTACTGCAAAAGATCATTCCTTTTCCTTTTTTTTGTTCCCTTTTAAACTTGTGAGGGACCTTTCTTTTTCATTTATTTTTAGTTTAGTCTCCATCCACCTTTTCTTTATGCTTTGCCACTTATGCATTTCATGTCGGCCACACCACACCCTACTCTCACTTCATACTCTCTCTCTCTCTCTCTCTATATCTATATCTATATATAGCTTTTTACTTGATGAGTTAGTTTGACTGAGTACTTGCAATATAATATATAATTAAGTATCTTAAATGATGAAGAAAACAACTTTATAATATGGTTTATAGATGAAGAAGACGAAGATGAATAGGGGTTAGAATTAAGAATTTGCCGTCTAGGATGTGAACAAAAGATAGTGAATCAGGGAATAATAGACTATCATAATTAATTCTTATCTCTTTCTTCTTTTACTTTACTTTTTTTTTATTTTTTTATTTTTTTTTTATTTTCTTCTTAGATTGATATCTACTGTGCATTTGTAATTATTATAATCATATGGTAATGAGGCCACACGTGATCGTTGACTAGCAACATTGGCGAAGCGTGCGGTTGAATTTTGCACTCACTTAAATTAAACCCCCATTTCTTTAATTGATTTAATCTTCCTTTTAAAGGACGAGTGTCGGAGCATTGTCGTGTTAATCTCATGGTTTTCAAATAATTTATAGAGAAAACAATGCGGATATTTGCATATATCACATGGGTTCGGTGAGGAGTGAGGACCACCCTATAATCTATTAACGGGAGTTGTTTTTAGTGTGTGTATATATAAATATGTATATATATAGCACAAATAATATTTGCATAAATTTGGATACGAATACTTAAGTGAGACTCTTTTATCATTCGGACAACACTGTGACATTAATTATAAGTAAAAAGTTCCTCCTTTGTGAAGATGGTGGAAGGCGGTAGTAGTGATAGAAGGTGACAATGGCGGTGATAAACGATGATAAAAGGCGACAGCAGTGGTGAAAGGTGGCGGCGGTGGTGTGGTGGCAATGATGAAAGGCGATGGTTGTGATTGTGGCAAAGAAAGACGATATTTGTGGGGAAAGGCGGTGGTAAAATTGCCCTAACTTTAAAAAAATTTATTGCATTGTGCCCCCACTGTCACTGATCGGGCCGTAACAAGTTTGCAAATAGGGTTGGTAATAAGTTGAATCCACATGACCTCAAATTAGAAACAGATTTTAATCTGAAATGTTTATGGGCCGATCCACTTAATTATTTGAGCCCAAATTTTATATTTTACCAGGTCTATTTGACGAACTCAGGTCCGGTTGCAAAAAAAAAAAAACTCAGGTCCGGTCCTACTCGAGTTAAAGTGGGCCATTAATGATTGGGTGTGGGCTCAGAGATGGAGGTCCAGTGGGTAACTAACCTGCAACTCTCTCTCTCATACAGGGTACAGACACAGAGCGTTAGAATAATGAATTACATAGTTCTCAATCATGTTAAGACCAAACTAATGGTTTGAACGAGACTACTATAGATAGCGCAGGATGAAAATATAAATTCTTGTAATGGGCTTTAAATAGTTGGGAAAAAAAAAGGCTTTGTAGAGTGGAGTTAGAGATATGAAAAATGAATGTAATTCTCATATTTATTTCTTCTAAGGTTTTTGTTCTTTTGATGCCGTGAATGAAACTTAGGTTTGAGCTTATTATTACAAGGGGGGACTTGTCCCACAACGGATCGGAATGAGAATGTGAATATAAATGGGTTGAGTGTTAACTCCTGATAAAATTAATTAATGAAGTAGATCTCAGGTAACAATAGTTCTCTAACATAACACGCATGAGTGTACATTGATCCTGCAACATAGAGAACTTTAGGTGCTCAACTATTGTATCTTTTATTGAATATTTGATTCCAGTTCACCAATAAACATAATAGAACTAGTACACATTACAGAATCCTAAATTCATGATAAATGCAATTGCAATTGCCTTCCACGTATCAACTTGTAACTATCATGATAACTAACTTGTAACTAGAGTTTTGATTCCAAACTGAACGATAGGTTGGGTCTCACAGGAAGCTGTAAAGATTCCCAGTCATCGTTATAATCATTGTAAACTTTGCTGTAATACTGATTCACCATTTCTTCACTAACAAGCTCTAGCTTTGGAGGTTGCCACTGTCAATAACAGAGTCGACGTTGGAAATTATTTCCCTTCAACCATTTTCTGATGACTAATTAGATTAAAAACTAGAAAGGAAAAAAAATTAAAAAATAAATTGGTAGCATAATCAAGTCCATTACTATTGTTCTTCTGATTTGATTTTAACAGTTTATTTCTGATACACCATAAGTGAAACTTAGTTTTTTTTTAAAATTTTTTTTTCAACAACATAACAATCATACATACCTTGGGTTTTCTGTCTTTGTCAATTAACATTGCTCTTACACCCTGCATACAGAATTTACCATGCATTTGTTAGTTAAAAGAAAATTTACCAAGATTAATAGAAGTAACAGTATATCGCACTTGTGGTGACCTCATAAAAATCATCATTAACTGTTCTTCGAAAACAGTGGCACATGAATTTAAATTCACGAGCAAGACATTGTTCAAGTTTCTGCATCCGACCTTCTCTAATCTATTAAGAATACAAAAAACACTTGGTTAGTCTCAAAATTAAGCATAAAGTTCCCAAAATTAGTAAAAGAGCATTTACAATTGATGTTACCGATCTTAGAGAAAGTTTAAGGCTTGTTGGAGAAGCAGACTTCATTAAGTTTATTGCCTTAATGATCCATTTTTCTGCTTTCTTTGCAGCAAAACTCTCCTAAATCAAATAAATATATTCCAATTTCGCAAAGAAAAATATCAAAAGTCAGATTATGTATCCAGCATTTCTGAACTAATGTAAGTATATGCAAATGAACTAAATATAATGATGTGATATTTAGGAAAAAAAATATAATGATGTGATATTTCTTCAAAAATGACATTACCAGTGATGATAATATTTCTTCAACTGTTTCTCTTGAGAAGCATTCATTGATAATCTCCAATCTGATTCACATGTGAATTTAATGCCACCAAAGAATTATGGATTTCATGCATAAATGTAACAACATATAAACATGCAGCAACTTCTCAAATGCAAAACTAGGAAGAACAAAAATGGGAGCAAGTATATATTTGTAAACAGGGGCGGACCAGTATATGCCTGGGGGGGGGGGGGCGCACTTGCCCCCTCTGGCCTGGCCCCGCCTACTATAGATATATATATGTATTTTTTTATATTTTATATGTGTATATATGAAATTTTTTATATAATGACCCCCCTCAAATTATTAGTTTTTAAAATTATTTATTATTTTTTTAGTTTTTTCCTAATTTATTCTTCGAATTCCTTAAAAAAAAAAAAATTTAAATTATTTCCTTTTCAAGTTGTCATTTTTCTTACTTTTTTTTCCCTTCTACTCCTTTAAATAAATTTTTTTTTTTTCCTTTCTACTCCTTTAAATAAGTTTTTTTTTCTTAACATTGTGCCCCTCCTAAACTAAAATCCTGACTCCGCCCCTATTTGTAAAAAATACAACGGAATGAATAGAATTTGAACACCTTCTATACGCGCTATCTTGTTTGATGCCTAATTGGTGTACAAATTTGTTGATAATTTCAGAAATGGCTGATACATCTGATGAATCCACCACATGGAGTGCATTTTCCAATGAAACAAGATCCTACAAGAACTCAAACCAAAAGTTAGTATCTAGCTTGGACTAAGTCATCAAGAGAACAATAAAAAAACTATTATTTAAAAATAGACCTTTTTTATATCTGAGTTTTCATAAAACAGTTTTCAGAAAACTGAACGAAACAGAATTTTGTTGTACTGTTTTCAGTTTTCTGTTGGATTCTCATTTTCCTTGCATAGAGGAAACTTTTTTTTTCTCCAATTCCAATTTTGAGGCACGAATTCCATGTTAGCGAACGTAGCCCATACGTGTTATAAAATAACGTTTAACATGAAGTACCTTTGAAAGGATAAAATGAGTAGCAAGGCCAGATGCAAGCATCTCAGTTCCATCTAATTGTGCTCCAGTCAGCCCCAAATATTCTCCTGTAAAAATGATTTTTAGTTCGAATGACTTGAACAATTCTACCATTATAACACTTGATCGATCGTGTAAAAGTTTAAGAAGGTTGACATGTTACTAAATTTTTGGAGAAGCAGACAAAATATTGTTACCAAAATATCCCGGAAGCCTAGAAAAGAAATGAGATGCACCAGCATCTGGGAAAAGCCCTATTGATGTTTCTGGCATAGCAAATACCTACAGAATTGTACAAAACAAGGTAAAATTAGTATGTAATTAGTTACCGAGGGACCAGATACTAAACATTAATCAACAAAGAAAATAAATATGAACTTTAAACAAGCTAGTTCGGAAGTTTCCAAGAACCAGCAATGGGATATAAACTTAAAACGAGTTCACAAGATGAATAAAAATACATCACTCTTATTAGATACTCCGTAATTTTTTTAATTTTTTTTAACATCAATGACTTGTAGTATACATATAGGTGACAAACATCATATGATAAAATGAAATAAACCTACAATGAAATCCAATGTAACCACTCAATATTCAAGCGTAGCAATATTTAGAAGTGATATTGTTTTGAAATTAAAGTGAGGAGTATTTAAAGGTAGAGAAGTACAGTATTCTCAGTAACAACTCTAAATTTTGTATGCATGGTCAGTCCAGCGCCTGCTCCCATTACAATCCCATTTATAAGAGCAACCTACAACAAGTTCATCAATTACAGAAAAATGGATTAGGAAAGAAAAATAATGCTTAGAGTATAATTATAAATGCTTAGGAACATTGTAAACAACGTTTGAAAATTAAACAATCTCACCAATGGCTTATTATATGTTGCAAGTAAGTAGTCTAAAGTAAGTAGTTTCCTGTAAACATCTGCAACAAAGCTCCAGTGTCCTGATTCATTTTTAGTAAAGTAATTAGGTGAGTGTGTATACATTTTTATGTTTCGTGAAGAGGAAAGATACATCCTCCCGGAGGATTTCCTAATGGAAGGATCTGAGTGGACTGAGGGTCCCATCACTGACATCGTCATGCAGCGGGGTCCACACCCCTCTCACTTTTCCATCATTTAACATCTTTTAAATTTCGAGGATGTATCATTTGCTCTTCTTGAAACATTGAATTAAGTAGAACAATTTAATTTCTACATGGAATTACCAATTCAGAGATTCAGTTTCACAAGAAGTTTGTTTTCCTTCTTATGCAATTGTGAATTTGAGATGCTTTCAAAGCCATAAATATATAAGTAGCTAACTAGGTAACATATACCTGTAGCTATAATAGCATTACTTGTAGCTGTAACATCACCACCTACACAAAATGATTTTCCATTTCCCTACATTTTGATATTAAAGAAGAAGAGATCAAAGAAAAATTATTTCGTAGTTAGCATGGGTGTAAAATATTGAAAATTTTGTGAGAGTAGAACAATGATCACAAATCAAAGAAATCGCAATTTATAAGATTTGAGTATATAAAATAGTGAAAAATGCATCATGATTGACGTTCCCAGTTGGCTAGTTGTTACTTTTGAACAATTATATATATATATATATATATATATATATATATATATATATATATATATTCATTGGTATATTTATGCTAATACTATTGCAAAAAAATTTGATCCTTCAAATTTGAAACATATTCTTCATTGGTAATAATTGTTCTCCCTTACCTTCAAAAGTACAAGTTTGACAGAAGGATCCTTCTCATACGCTTTGAAATTGTTTAACATCTGGAAAATCTGCCAAAAAAACAAGGTTCGCCAATCAATTATCGTCATTGATATAAATATTGGGTAATTTAGACAAACCTCCCCTACGGTTTGTCATAATTATAGGGACCTCCGCTCTGGTTTTAGAATTTACTCGGATCTCCCCTAAGAATGAAAATATCCTACACAGACCTCTTTTCTGTTAGAGTCAACTTCAGTCAATGATAGAAATTGCTGACGTCATGTACAAATTTTACTAAAATTCCTATAATACCCTTGTCCCTATATAATTACATGTTTAAGAACCTTCTGATCGGCGAGCAAATACCAGAAATAAGAAATTTCTACGGTGAAGACATGGTGGCTGTGACCAATTAGAACAGTGAAGACACGGCAGTTAGAGAGAAGTTTGGGTCCATTTAATTCTGAGTGATTCCGGCAAAAGAAACGGTGGCTGCGAACAATTGGGTTTGTGGGTATGACATTTACGATTGGGTTTGCTTTGTGTGATTTGGTTTTTATTTTGGAAATCAAAATTGAGAGTAAAAATATTGATAAATATTCAAGGTTTAATCTTTTTTATCGATGCTTGTTTTAATTCTAGTGTACTATTGTTTTGTTTTGTTTTGTTTTATATTAATTTTCTTAATATATTTTTTACCGAATTGATCAGATATATATTTTTTACCAAATAAAAGGAAAAAGATAAAGATGGAGGAATGTACAATTCCTAAGCTGGAGAAGCAAGATTCACTAGAGGGAATTGCAATTCCTAAGCCGAAGATGCCTCTGTTTGAGTCTCCAGTTGTTTGATCTTAGCAGCAATGAGCTCTTTGGGAATATCCCAATTGAGTTGTGTAAGATTGAGGCCCTATATCCGCATTTGCAAGCACTTCATTCCTCTTTCGCTCCGCCTTCAAATCCTATAATTTTTACTTTTTTATTTTCTTTCGCTGGGTGGATGTGGTAAAAGTTTTCATCTGCGAACGCCACACACATATGAATATATATAGGTTGTGTTGTATTGGTGTGGATGGTTGAAGAGGAGGAAAATGGTAAGGCTGGTAGTTGCAGCAGGCGGAAAGGAGAGATGGTGTAGAGAGGTGAGGAGAGAGAAAATCAAGAAAAGCTTTTAACAGAGGTTTCAAGAGAATTCAGCTTATTAATAATAGGGTTAATTACAACGACACCTCCTGAGGTTTGCCATATTGACAACCATATACAACTTAGCCATTTTTTAGACAAAAACACTCCCCAAGTTTGCAAATTTGAATAATGACACCCCAAACACAATGAAATTACATGTTTACGCTTTGACCATGTAAAATGACCAAATTACCTTCATCTAAAAAACCTTTTCTTCTTCTAATTTTTCATCTTCCCATTCATTCCCTGTGTGGGCCAATATACACAACCACTACACACCGGCACCACCGCTGCAACCTCTACAACCACCATCTTCTTCCCCGTTCCACCACCATTACACAAACCCAACACCTTAAAATTACACACATATATCTATATAAACATATATACATACATACAACGCTTTGCTCACTGTCTGTGCTCTCTGCAGCCGGCTGCCCATCTCATCCGAGCTTCCTCCTTACTCGTCGGCAGCCGTTTTGAAGCTCTCTACCCACCCCATCGCGACTGAGTTCAGTCCACATTCCACAGCCGAATTCATCACAGAAATCCACATCGCGCGAGTTCCCCCTTTGCTGCGAGCTTGGCTGGACAGACCAGCAGAACGAATCGGCGAGGGATGGTGGCTTGTGCACACCGGCAATTGACGCAACAGTTGGCAAGATGGGTTATGGATGAATATCAGTAATGCTCGAATGTGGTTGAATCACAGTGGGCTTATGGCGCTACACCGGCAGGTGGTGTTGACAAAGACGGTTCGCGGCAGAAACAAGGTGGATGTTAGGTTTGCAAGCTGTCGCGAGTCCTCCACAGTCAAGCTCTCCACAACTGAGGCCGAGTTCATCCCAAATGGCGAGAGACATGCCAAATAAGCAAAGACTGAAAAAATGAAGTCCAATAAAAAATTTTCAGCGGATATGGCGTTAATGGAGGACCGAATCAGAATAGTGGACTGCTAGGTTTGTGGCTCAAAATTTGTGTGAAGAAATTAGTTTCCTTTTTGGTTTTGGAAGGTTGAAATTTGTAGATAAAATTGTATCACATTATGTTTCTATTTTAGAGTTTTGATCATTATGGTAACTCCTTGTATGCATGTTGGGGAATACTTGTTCAACAAGGAATTGGGTTTTGAAGACTCTATAAATAGAGATGGGTGTGAGGGGTTTAGAGAGAAAAGAGAGAGAGTGTGTTGTGAGGAGATAAGTGAGTATATGTAATTCCCGAATGTATACATGTAGCCTCATAAGAGATGGTGTGTGAGTGAGTGGGGTTTTGATATGTGGTTGTATATTCTCTTCTTTGATTCATAATAGTGAAATCTCTCTCTTCCATGGACGTAACCTTAGAGTTGGGTGAACCATGTAAAATATTGTGTTGTGCATTGATGTGTATGATTGTTATCTCTATGTATGCTTGTGCTGATGTGATGTGATGATACTTCCATGTGTGTGATGAAGGAGGGATTTAACTTTCAATAACAGCCGACCGTTGAGTGGGTTGGAGGGAGTTAATTATCCCCAACAATTGATATCAGAGCCGATGGTGGGTCATAGCTTGTGATTGGTCCTGAAGATCAGTAGAAAAAGATTGTTGCGAAGTTTGTCAGAGCAAAAGATGATCGTGAGGTGCTATGGAGATTCAATCAGAGTTGATGAAGACACGAAGGTATGAAGAAGGTGATGGTGTGAAGCCCACGATGAACAAGTCTTGGGATAAGCCAGATAATGCTCGTTTTTAAGATGGGCAAAGGTGATAGAGTTGAAGCCCACGAGGAACAAGTTTTTGGGACAAGCCAAGAGTAAGTGCTAGTTCTCAAGATGGGGCAAGGGGTGTGAAGAATGAAAGGGTTTGCTCTAAACCCAATAAAGAGCAAAAAGGAATATGAAAAGTGAAGATGAGAGGTTTGTTGCTTTGATCCAGAAAAGTAAATGATGAAGATGAGTTTAATATTGGTGGGTTGCAATGCGTGAGCAATTGAACACCAATGGGATGGATAGAAAATATAGAAGAAAAATGAATAATGATGAATTTGAGAAAAGGTGGAGATTATTAGAGTGTTTCCCAAGTTCATCATAGTGCTTTATTGGTACGTGGAGAAATTTTTAGTTGAGGTGGAGTAATGAAGAGCTTGAGGTGGAGGTATGTAGAGATCCTTGTTCGAGGTGGAGCTATGGAGAAGCACGTGAAGATAAAAATTTGAGCCAAGGTGGAGATTGTTAGGTTTGTGGCTCAAAATTTGTGTGCAGAAAATTAGTTTCCTTTTTGGTATTGGAAGGTTGAAATTTGTAGATGAAATTGTATCACATTATGTTTCTATTTTAGAGTTTTGATCGTTATGGTAATTCCTTGTATGCATGTTGGGGAATACTTGTTTAACAAGGAATTGGGTTTTGAAGACTTTATAGAGATGGGTGTGAGGGGTTTAGAGAGAGAAGAGAGAAAAGATGTAAGGGGTTTAAGGGTGAGTGTTGTGAGGAGAGAAGTGAGTATGTAATTCCCGAGTGTATACATTAGCCTCATAAGAGATGATGAGTGAGTGAGTGGGGTTTTGATATGCGGTTGTATATTCTCTTCCTTGATTCATACTAGTGAAATCTCTCTCTCTCATGGACGTAATCCTAGAGTTGGGTGAACCATGTAAAATATTGTGTTGTGCATTGATGTGTATGATTGTTATCTCGATATATGCTTGTGCTGATGTGATGTGATAATGCTTCCGTGTGTGTGATGAAGGAGGGTTTTAACTCTCAATAACAACCAACCGTTGAGTCGGTTAGAGGGAATTAATTATCAACAACATGGACACGGTTAAAGGCCATGTTGCCTCGAGAACGGCGAAATCGACGGCAGTAGAGAACTTAAAATTTTTGACTGAATTGGAGAGAAAAAAGGATTGCACGGCTTGGACGACGGCGACCACAATAACTATAACGAGGACAACGACGACCAAGGATTTTGACTGGGCTGTTCTTATTGGTGATGCAAGGATGTGCGACGAGGGTCTGTACCATAAGTGGGTCTGAACTGAATGGCGGTGAAGAGGATTGAACGAAGATGCATTATCTCTTACTGAGGAGGCATTCATGCATCCATTAGGGAAGAGAGAAGGGAAAATGTTTTAAAACAAACGAAACTTATTTTGGGAATTTTTTTTTTTTTTTATAAAAGTGTTTGTGAAAACCCGGATGCCTAGGAGGCGCCTAGTGGTCCGTGATGTTAGCGTAGTCTAGAGGGGAGTATGGTTGAGCTAACTAGGCCGGATGCGACACTCTGGAGGTGCCTTGTGGTCATGGATGGTTAGTCAATCCTCCTTTCGTGACGTCTTGGAGGTGCTTTGGGTCGAATTACACTAACGGTTTGGAAATTGAAACGGAAATGTTTCGGATATGGGGAGCAACATTTGCATGACATTGCACTTCATTAGAATATATGGTGTGTATGTGTTTGGGTGACAATTGTTAAATACTTGTCGTTGTAGTTGTTGCCATGTACCCCCTATGCTATGATCCCGTTTTCTTCTGCCTATTCCTTACGTGGAATTCACTGTGTCATAAGAAGTGTGTCTTAGACACTTCCTACTGAGCGTTTAGCTCACCTCATTATTTTAACATTTTTAGGTTCGGGAGAAGAAGTGGCGGACTACAATCCACCAAAGCCTTAGCTTGGATTAGAAGAATGTCTCTTTTGCTATCTTTTATATTTAAGCCTCATTTTATAAAGTGTTGACCCAAAATGTATCATTTTACAGCATGTGAAGTATTTAGATTCATTTTGTATATGGCCATTGGGGTAATGTAATTAAGTTTAATTACACTAAATCCTTTAGTGTATTTTATGTAACGTGTTATAAATTATGTTAACACTATTATTGTTGTTTTTTGTATTAAGGGTTGAAATGTTTAAAAATATGTACCTGGATATGGTGGTATTGGCTGATTGGTTATTAATGTTAGTGTATCTCAGTTCCTTAGGACATTGAACAACCAAAATCAGGCAACGTGAAATTCCCACATGTCGACCGAATGACCTGAGCCAGTCGACGTGAAATTCGACCGCTATATGGGCAGTGAGCTTTTTTACTGTACACGTCTCAAACCAGTCAACGTGTAACTTCCCACACGTCGACTGGTATCTCCTATTTTTGGGCAGTAAGCAATTTCATGGCCCAAATCAATTAACATGAAATGTATATATATCGACCGGTTCCTGTGTAGTAAAGGTTTGTGGCTTATTTTCTCATTTTGCCCTTGATCACTCACTCAAGTATATTGTCAAAATGCAATAATTATATTTTAACCATAGAAAAGACTATATTGCCACAGACTTTATCTTATCTATTATGTGATACGAGTAAATGACCATTATGCCTTTTGAGTCTCAAACTATTAGGATTGTGACAAATGACCATCTTGTCTTTGTTGGACTTTAATATACAAATTTAACGTGAAAGGACTATATTACCCTTGGATGATTTTGGGTCGGATAAGGACCCGTTTAATGATCTGAATGTAGTGAATTTGGGTCGATACATAGTTGTTCATAAGTGAGTTGAGATAGGGAGGGAAACATAAAAGTAAATAGAAGAAAATGAAATGTTTTATTAATTTCTACAATTATTAATTAGATATATATTCAATAATTAAAAGTTTAGCAAATGATACCCTTTGCACCCCCACTTTCACACAACATTCAAGAAAATAGAAATGAGAGATCAACAAACTATATATATATATATATATATCAGCAAACAATAACGAGAGCAAACAGTTTGGCCAAACCATTTGATTGTTGAGGCAGTTCAATTTCTCAGGCCTGTTTAAAATCACTTTTCTCGTACTTGAATTTTCTTCAAACAGAACCTGACCCAAAAAATGGTAAAATATAATAAAATTAAAAAAAAAAAAAAATTATTACACTAACATTGAGTAGAGAAAATAACAAATCAGTAATAACATTTTTTTTCCCTGGCAAAGAAAAGTAGAATATCATTAAAACAATTAGGAGTTTCAATATGAAAGAACATTCAACCTCATAAATTTTTGAAATTAGTACAATGACAAAATAAGTTTTGAAAAAAAAATAATAATCTTAGTGTTAGAACTTAATAATTAAAGCGTCTTTCAAGATGCATTGAATGAGACGTTTATTAAAATTTTAATGATTTGTGTCATTTCATTCTCAATATTTGTGCAAAAAAAAAAAAGTTAGATTATAACAATAATAATAAACATTCACACCATTTCCAAATGCTTGACGAGAGACTTAAAAAGGGAATTTAGAAATGAAGTTAAATGATAACAATAATAGTAATAATAAACATTCATACCATTTCTGGAGACATGAGGAGAGAAAACAACGTGGAAACAAGTGTCGAGATAAGCAAACAGAGATCAATGCTGTCAATGAAAAATGTGGTCAAGAATGCAAGAAAATATATGAGCCACGATTCCTATATATAATAGTTTACTACTACTACTACTTCTAGAATTAATGACTTAAAATAAACGAATTATTAAGATTTCATTCACCATTTAATGCTAGGGGTTAGTAGTTAGAGGAGAGGAAGGGTGACAGGGTTTGAACACCTAAGCAGGAAAGTAATTCAATCACTTGAACAACACACATACACTTAGGCACGGTTTGTTTGGATGTAAAATATTTTTCAGAAAATATTTTTTAATTTCCTAATGTTTGGTTTTCGTAAAATATTTACGAAGAAAAAAAAATATTAAAATTTAATAAAAATAATTTATTCATAAATTTTCGACAAATTATTTTGCATGTCCTACCTGATAAATTCGATCTTAATTTTGATGTAAACCTTTACCAAATACTGACAAAGTAAAAATTAAAAAATATATATTTTACCTAAAAATAAAAAAATTTTAAAAATAATATTTTAGTCAAAACGAACGAATTAGTATTATTATTTTTTGATTAGAGTCATAACACTCATTCACTTTGAATTTGTTTAAATTTATTTATTTATTTTATTATTAACAAAAAAACACACACCACTAACACATCTACTTTGTTTCTAGAACCCTAACACTTGGACATTTCACGATGTACTCATTCAAGCTCAAAAGTCAAAGGGACCAAATAACCAATAGCCAATTTTGTTTTTTATCCCTTGGCAAACACAACCAAACCACTAGGATACACTGAACCTACGAATGTCACAATCAGCAGGTAGTTTAATATCAAACGGAATTTGAGAGAGCTTAGCCACATGCCATGCCTACCCACATGGTACATATGCCGTTTGTTTAGTCCCACTCTCGCACGTAACGAACCTAATGAATCTACGTATCTATCATGTTTCTCAATACATCTTACAAGAAAGTTTTTATTCTACTTTCACGTTGTGATTCACATTTTACTCACTTTATTCATTAAATTTCTTATTTAGAATAATACACCATATTCAACCGCCATGTCAAATCGCCATGTCAAACACTCGTCCACTTTATTTCTCTTACACTTGAACCCTTAATCGAATTACTAAATCACAATGCAATTTCTTTTTATTTGTTGCGCATCATATGCAAATTAAAATAGTGGAAGTCATCTTGGCTTATTGTTCCGTACTATTAAAAAATATTAAAAATAAAAATAAAAAATAAAATAAAATAAAGCCTGGGGACTTAAGTAATGATACACATCTTTTCTTGAATATTGAAACGAGAACTAAGTACACATGACAGAATCTTAAATTCATGAAAAATGCAATTGGAATTGGCTTCACCAACTTGTAACTAGAGTTTCGATTCCAAAGTGAGTGATAGGTTGGATCTCACAGGAAGAAGTAAAGATTCCCAATCATCATCATAATCATTGTAAACTTAATCATTGTAAACTTTGCTGTAATACTCATTCACCATTTCTTCACTAACAAGCTCTAGCTTTGGAGGTTGCCTTTTTGGATAAGCAGGGTAACTTAACCGCGATAAGAACAGTGCGAGTTTGGATTTTAAAGTATTATTTTGAAATTGTTTGAGGACAAAGTTCCCTACTTGTTTTCATTATGGGATTGAATTTATTCAAGTCTTGTCTAAAAAACAAGTTAATTGTAGACCCATCAAAAATATCTTATATAAGACTTTTCTTCCGCAATCAAACCATTGTATTGAATATTATTTTCACAATCTCTATGCATGATAAAAATAAAAATAAAAATAAATAAAAATAATAAAAAAAATCTTCTAATATTTTGTTAAATGAAAATGACTTCATAGATTAGGCACTTGTATTCAATTGAGTTGATATTCGATTTAGATGACAAAGGAAATAACAATATTTAAGCAAACAATTAGACATGTAAAAGACAAATTCCAGATAAAATTATTTAATGAAGTAGATCTCAGATAACAATAGTACTCTTAACATAACATGAGTATGTACATTGATCCTGCAACATTAAGAACTTTAGGTACTCAACTATTGCTACACATCTTTTATTGAATATTTGATTCCAGTTCACCAATAAACATAATAGAACTACTCCACATTACAGAATCTTAAATTCATGATAAATGCAATTGGAATAGACTTCATCAACTTGTAACTAGAGTTTTGATTCCAAAGTGAAAGATAGGTTGGATCTCACAGGAAACTGTAGAGATTCCCAATCATCGTCATAATCATTGTAAACTTTACTGTAATACTCATTCACCATTTCTTCACTAACAAGCTTTAGCTTTGGAGGTTGCCACTGTCAATAACAGAGTAGGAACGACGTTAGAAATTATTTCCCTTCAACCATTTTCTGATGACTAATTAGATTAAAAAATAGAAAAGAAAAAAAAAAATGGTAGCATAATGAAGTCCATTGCTATTGTTCTCCTGAATTTATATTAAAAATTTTATTTCTGATACACCATAAGTGAAACTTAATTTTTATTTTATTTTTCAACAACAAAACAATCATTTATACCTTGGGTTTTCTGTCTTTGTCAATTACCATTGCTCTTGCACTGTTCATCCAAGTGATCCCATGCAACATTACTTTTTGCTTATATATGATCTGCTAAAAGAGTAGCCCATGTATGATCCACTTCGTAGTGAACTTTTGAAGTTTATTAATTTTTTTTTTTAAATCAAATCCCCAAAACTGATACAATATACAGAAGCAAAAACAAAAAAAAAAAACATGAATACATACCTTCAATCTTATTAGGATTTATTTTGTTCTCTTCAAGCAAACATATACATTTATATGTATTTTCCCCTTTAATTTTATGAACCAATAGAGACTTCTCAATCCTTTGTTATCCTTCAATTTTGTAAAGTGGAAAAGAGAACCGTGAGTTAGAGAGAGAAAGAATGAAATCAAAGAGGAATCGTCAAAACCTCTCCAGCTTCTTTCCATTTTTAATTATTTATTTATTTTTGGTATCTTTAGAGTGTAAAGAAATTAACGATTTAGGTAATTATATGGCAATTACACATAGCATTTAAACTACGAGTAGGCCGATTTGATCGGATAGAGTATCATTACTCTTTTATAAAATATATAAAAATAAATAATTTTGTAAAATAACCAAGAAGGACACTATTAAAGGATGTCCTTCTCGTGCAAAAAAAACTCATATAAAGTTTCAATCTGGTGCAAATAGGTCCATCTAACAAATTTAAACCCTAAATTTACTAAATTACCCTTATTGAACCATTTTATAAAATATATAAAAATAAATAATTTTATAAAATGACCGAAAATGACACTATTGGAGGATGTGGGCAATAAACAAGTAAAGATAAAAATAAAAGTACAAAAAGAAAAATAAAGATAAAAATAAAATAAAAAACAAAAATAAAGTGCAAACTAAAGAAGAAAAAAAAATTTCAAACTTCGAAAACTAGTGCACACTGATATTGGGAATTTTTTTTTTAATTTTTTTTTTATTTAACAGTGTTGGTACGAAAAAAAAATTTAGTAGAAAAGAGTAAACTGAAATCTCAAAAAATTCAAATCCTTATTCTACAAATTCTCAAAATTAAAAAAATATAAATAAAAAATTGTTTAGAGATATATATAGAGAAAATAATTTTTTTTAAGAAAGTAATGTGTAGGTAACACGATATTAACACCCCTATATTTTGCATTTATGCATTTAATTTTATTAAGAGTGTCCAAGTAAATTAAATCAAACTTGAAGGAGGTGGTGTCATAGCAACTTCTGTTCATATTTAATATGAAAGCAATAAATTAACCCAAAACAAAACTATTAGCCCTCACTCCTCACCGAACCCACTAGACTTGACAGTTTTCTAATGTAAACGTTGTGTGGTATAGTGTAGTAGTAGATTACATACAGCCACGTTTTTTTTTCTTTTTAATTTATTTGAAACCGATAAGATTTGCTTGGTAATCCTTCAACACTCCCTTTCAAAGGAAGATAAAAGAAATTAATGCAAGCTTTCAAAGGAAGATTAATGTCAAGTCTTGAGATGTTACATCTAGTTTGGTTTACAAGTGAAACTGATTGAGCAAAACAACATATGTACCATGTATGACTTGGCCCTAGCTATGACTATGATTGATTGAATATATCATGGAAAATGCCCTAGCTTAATTAAGACTGCATTTAATTAATTTGTTTATTTATTGCTTCTTCTTCCATCTCAAATTGACTTCATCATTCTTGGTGCGGAAGGTATCTTATCTTACTCAATCTAAAAAAAAAAAAAATCTATAAAAAATTGTAGTTCAGGGCTCATTTCCACATAGCTTTTTTTTTTTTTTTTTTTTCCGTAATAACAAAAATTGTAATAGCAAAATGAGAGCGCTAATGTATCCAAAATTTTCGCCCCCAATGGTGGTGGGGGCGTCGGTGGTAGAGTAATATATATGACTATATATATATATCAAGCGTGGGTAGAGAGAGAAAATGGAGGAGGAGGGTAATTTAAACGTGAAAGGAAGTGTCATAGCAATTTTTGCACATGTTTAATCGCAAAGTAATAAATCCAAACATTAAAAAGTGTCATAGCATTTAAATCCTATAGAAAACTATTAGTCATCTATAATGTCCCTAATTTTCAAATTGATATAATTAGAATATAAAATTTTATTTCTTGTGCATTTTTAGTTGCTTACATGGCTATGTGTTTATGTGGCTTCATGTTATATGTTAAATGAATTAATTATTTAATTACAAGTGTTTTGTTAAATTAATTGTTGAATGATATTATTTGTTAAAAGATGATGTGTTGATTTAAATATAATTTTTAGTTACTTGTTTAAATATGGGTTTTATTTTATTTTTAGTTTAAACAAGAGGGATTTGGATACTAGTAATGGACCAATAGTAGGTCTCATAAACTACTTGAATAGGAGTTGCTTATGGATACGGATAATTACCCATATATGGTTGGTTGTATATATACTTGAGTATATATGTTTAAGAGGATAGAATATTATTATTATTATAATTATTATTATT